TGCAGGTATTATGGGCTTAATATTGATTCTTACCCTCCCTTAGTTTTTTGTAAGATTACATCTTCAATTTGCTGAAGACAAATAAAGAAAATGATAGCTAAGCCTATGTTACACATTTTCCTGGGGTTAAAATAAGCATCTTCCAATATTCTGCATACTGTCTATTTCAGTTCATAATAGTAGAAAACTCAGGTCTTAAGATAAATAAATACACAAACCTACTATTCAACTGATATCAAAACTAATTTAGTTTGTAATATATGATTGAATTTGGGGATAGATTATTGATACCAGTACAATTTCCTTATATGCCACTGTCCACTCACTGACATATACAAATTACAATTAACACCCACCCACTAAATATGTTAGATTACTGAATTTGTGTGTGCCCTATTTTAAATTTTTATTATAATCCTTCAAAAAACGATTCAAGTGTTCTTTGATGGTTTTATGTAACAGGAAGACATTATTAAAAGGTGCCGCAGCATGAAAAAGCCAGTCATAGTAGCAACTAATATGCTTGAAAGCATGATTGATCACCCAACTCCTACTAGGGCTGAAGTCTCTGACATTGCAGTTGCAGTACGAGAAGGAGCGGATGCAATAATGCTTTCTGGGGAAACTGCCCATGGAAAGTATGTGTTGACTTCTTTCTGGCTCATGCTTTTGACACACAATTAACTGCATTTCTTGTATCCACAATTTAAAAAGTTAGCAAAGTGGGGCGGAGATGGAGACGAGATCTAGAAGGAAAGAAAACTTGGGGAGAATAAAGACTTGGTTCGAACTCAATAAAGCAATTTTAGATAATTGTACTATGTATATTTTTGTGTATATAGAATACGTATCTAAGTATTTGCAATTTTTTTTAAAAGTATTTATTCAAAATTTCAAATTGTATATTTCTTCGTACTTTCGAAGGTAAAAGCTAAATCTTTCAAAGTAGACTTGCTTTCACTGTATAGCCTTAGAATACTGTCGACTTTAGCAATACTGAGACAAAAGTCTCAATTTCTAACATTGCCAATGACATTGTTCGTTTAGTGGTTTTGTATGCATTGTATGTTATGCATTATGTCTATCATTTAAACATCATATTTGGTGTTTTTCACATTTGAGAGATTCATTCTCATTATCAGTCTTTGCTGGTATCTAAGGACAATATGAAATGGTGTCTTCGGGCTTGCACACAATCAATTCAGAAGGCAGAAGCTTGTATTTCAATTAAGGCTTCTTTTCTGTTCATAATTTGACTTGTTTTCTCGCTTTTAGTTAGACTTGTTTTGTGTTCATTAGGCATCTATGACTGCCGATGGAAAACAAGTGTTCACTTCTATTTGAATAATTCGGTTGTGTAAGTCAAAAGGTCTGTTCTTGTGAATAATAGGTATCCCCTGAAAGCTGTAAATGTAATGCATACTGTAGCATTGAGGACTGAATTATCTCTATCAGCAAGAACATCTTCTCTACAGCCATCAGGTTTGCACAAGGTATGCATTGATTTGTTTATTTCCATGATTTGTTTTGTGTGTTACTCGAGCAAAAGGAAAACAAATCCCTTATAAAGGGGCAGGCAAAGTGGCAATCGCATGGCCGGAAGTCATAAATTACATCGTTCATCATGTTCTGTGAGCATTTTTTAGTAGTTCTCCTCAATAAATGTATGCAGCTCTTTTCAGATTGAATGATGATCAATATCTTCGTTTGGATTGATTTGGTTTCTGTAATCGATTTAGTTGAAAATGAATGGTGGGGAATTAGATAAATGTGTTTGGGATATGGCACCCAATTCCTGGGAGTTGAGCAAACCCTTTGGTATAGTGGAGGCATGTGAGTATGTGACTCCTCGAATTTCAGAAGTTTAGTATTCATAGGGTCTGTTTGGAACATGAAAGATTCAAGGGAAAGAAATTACAATGGGAAACAAAGAAGATAATTTGAGGGAAAGAAATTTTGGCGTGAGAAAAAAGTTGCACGTCAACTTAATTGTTTTGTCTTAATTATTTGTTCAAACTCATCTCATATGTTTAGTTCTTTCTATCATAGAATGAATAAGAAATTCAAGTATATACATACTACCTCCGTCCCCTTATGTTTGGGACAAAGGGGTGTGGTGGGAGTTTTAAGAAAAATGTAGAAATGTGTGGTTAATATTAAATTGATAAATTGTGAATAAAGTAAGAATGAATTGTAGCCACCCAAATATTACCAAATATGGTATGAGACAAACTTAATGGGACGGACGAAAAAGGTAAATGGGACAAGGTTAGGGGGACGAAAGGAGTAGTATATAATACGATAGTATTATTTTACAGTTAATTATATTTAATTTTCCTAACCATTTTGTAAATTATTCCACATAAGAAATTAAACTTTTTTAGCAACTTTTTCCTTTCATTGACTTTGTGGCCCACATGATTCTGTGGATAGAAGGAATTATGGAGAATTGAATGCTTATTCAAACAAGGCTCATACGTACTACGTACTACATACGGCTATAGCCTATAGAAGTTGCTTAAAATCATTTGTTTGCAATATTTTTGTTTCTGCAGAGCCATATGGGAGAATTGCTTGCTTACCATTCAAGCACAATAGCCAATAAACTTAACACTTCTATCATTGTCTTTACAAGAACTGGCTCAATGGCTGTGACTTTAAGCCATTATCGGCCTCACTCGGCAATCTTTGCTTTCACAAACAAGTAAGCTGCATCTCTCTTGAAGAAAAAGAATAACACCATAGGGAACACACATTTTCTTAAAAGCCGTTTGTGGAGGGTTACCGGAGCAACAATTTTCTACTTTAATTAATATCATCTTGTTTTTGGAACAACAGTCAAAGGTTGAAGCAAAGGCTTGCTCTCTATCAGGGTGTGGTGCCTGTATATATGGAATTCTCAAATGACTCGGAGGAGACCTTTTCTCGAGCGTTGAAGCTTCTGTTGGTTAGTAGTGATCTTCCTTGGCTGTTTTTCACTACACCTCGTGGCTTATAACATTTTATTTTCACTCTTTTCTTAGAGTAAGGGCCTACTCACCGAAGGACAGTTTGTGACCCTTGTTCAGAGCGGAGCACAGCCAATTTGGCGTAGAGAATCTACTCATCACATACAAGTTCGGAAAGTCCAAAGCTGATAACTTTTTTTATGAAACAGAACGTTTGAACTTTTGAACTTAAGCCGTGGTATCAAATAGTTAGATGGTTTTGTCATTTTTATGATTCTTTTTACCCTGTTCCCGTTATATGAACATTGATGGATATTTTTATTTGGACTCGAGTGAGAAAAATATACACTTTTATACCCCAAATACTCATAAACATTATGTCTCCCAGTCTCCCGCCCGGCCACCAATTCTCCAACATCTGTTATTAAGAGTAGTGATGTTGGCATCCTCATTAACAACATGGAAGAGACTGAAAGTTCTGAAAGACTGCGTTTCTGGCCCTGTTCTACGCAAAGGTTTAAAAACCTTTCCCTAGCATCCATCCCATATAGGCTTCTTGGGACATGGGAGGCAATCTATGCTTTTGTGTTAATGCTCTTTATAATTGTTGGTTACTCTATTAGGTACCTCTCTTAAATGTTCTACAATATTTCTTATATTTTTAGAGTTTATTTGGAATATTAAATTACTCATGATAATTTACGTTGCTTGTATCTTTTCTTTTTTGAACAATAAAAGCTTTTGAAACAACATTGTTTTTTGGGAAAATTTGACTTTGCACTCTGTGTTTTGGATGATATTTGACTTTGCACCCTATTTTCAAAATCATTAATGTATGCACTCCAATTCACTATAAAATCATTTGACTTTGCACCCCACTCCTTCACAATATTTGGGCTAATGGGGTGCATACATTAATGATTTTAAAAATGGGGTGCAAAGTCAAATTGCACCCAAAACATGGTGTTCAAACTCAAATTCTCCCTTGTTTTTTTGAGACAATAACATTTATCATTATTGAGGGTTAACATGTACAATCATGCTATTTTTTTTACACGCCATTTTTTTTACACGCCATTTTACACGTCTGCCGAATTGTCTGTGCACGAACAATTTGGCAGGCGTGTAAAATGACGTGTACCAACAACATTTTTCCAACAAGTAATTGCGTCATGTAGGCTTGGACTCGGGTCGGGCCACCCGGCCCGTGGACCGGCCCGGCCCGCTACTGTGCGGGATCGGGACCGGCCCGGTTCTCGGGTCCGGGTCCGGGTCGGGCCTAGGCCCGGGGGGTAGGGCGGGTCCGGGCTCGGGTCTCAATTTTGGTGAACCGGCCCGGCCGGGTCGGGCCCGGGCCCGGGCCAAATTGATTTTTTTTTAATTTTTTTTTCATTTTTGGGGTTCCACCCGGGTTGGGCTTGATGGGTAGGATGGGTTTGGGGGGGTTTGGGAGGGGGGGGGGGTTAGGAAAGCTAAAAAAAAAAAAAATTCCAAACCGGAGGCTCAGCCCGGACCCGGTGGCTACCCGGGCCGGTCCCGGGTCCACCATTCTTGAACCGCCGGCCCGCCCGGGCCTAGGCCCGACCCGGACCCGGCCCGGACCCGAGTCCACCCCTAGCGTCATGTCTTTGTAGGACTGGGCCCGGTTCCACTTCTGGGACTACCCTGGATTGGTTCAGTCAGTTTTTGGCCAGAGACCAGAGCGATTTTCCAGGCTGAACTGAATTGGGAACTCAGCCAAATCAGGTCCAGTTCTGATTCCTCCAATGTATAATCGGACTGGTTCCTGCCATTTTATAGGCAAAATACCAGACCGCAACCACCCTGGGAACAAGGCCAGAACTGAACTTGATTATTCTTGTTAACGGTTCTGATTCCTTGCTTCCCATGACCTATAACCAGTTAGTGTTGAACCAGAACCAGTCCCCCCTTCCTGCCTTCTCATGACCCGTAACCGGCTAGTGTTGAACCAGAACTGGTTCGGGCCTACCCTTATTTCCTCCCCACTTTCTCAAATTAGTCGTTGGATTTTTTGTGTAAAAGTTTGCAATTGCAGGAAGTTAAACAAATTCATAATGGTAAGTTTTGGGGGGAGATGTACAATGTCTCTTATTCAGACTGACGGTTCCATCCATAACAATTGTATTGCCGTTTTCTGTACAAGGTACATAGTTTACCTTAGTTATTACTAAACTAAATGACAATCCTTTTCCTCATCACCACCTTTCTCAAATTTATGAACTCCAAGCCTTGCAGACTTGTACCACTTTGCACACATAATATATGCTACTAAATCCATGATTGTCAGACCAGCTAGCAAAAAGTAAAACCTGTCTAGATGTCCTCTATTAAGGTTCCCAGGAATCCAACCAGGCATTCTATCCTTAGCCGAAAATTTCATTATCATGCTCACTAGCAGACTGCTAACGTAGTTTCCGAGTGATATTGATGTCATACAGAGTGCGCTCCCGAAGCTTTTCAGCCCTTCTGGCGTCTGTTCGTTGAAAAACTCGAGCTGCCCGACGTACATGAAGACTTCGGAAGCACCAATCAGTGCGTACTGAGGGATTTGCCACAGTATGCTCAAGGAGCTCATGCCTTCACAGTCGACGCACTCTTTAATAGCATACTTGAGCCTATAACATTCCACGATCCCAGCGGAAAGCATGGCCATTACTGCTATGACGAGCCCCACTCCCATCCTTTCAAGCTGAGTGATCCCTTTGGATTCACCTCTCAAAGGGCTCCGCTTTAGCCTCCCGATGAGTGGGTCAAGGAGCCTCCGGTATATGAATATGCAGACAGCGACACTGCAGATGTCGAAGCTTGACATGCTTGCTGCGGGGATTCTGAAGTTTGAGATCTTTGTTTCCATGGCATCCCCTTGCTCCACGAAGAGAGAGGCCATTTGGGTGAAAACAACTGAATAGACTATAGTGCATAGCCATATAGGTAACAGCCTCAGAATGCACTTTACCTCCTCAACTTGTGAGATTGGGCAGAGGTGCCATGGATTCTGCTTTTTCTTCTCAACATCCTTTGGTGTTATGACCGCTGCTCGGTCCAAGAATCTATATGGGAAAAAATAAAAAGCGCTTGTTAGTCAAAGCTTTGTTAAACCATCCAACAACGTCAAAATTATAGAAATGCAAACTGACATTTAAGATAGTGGTTGTCATACTCTTAGGTTGATTTTTAATGAACTCCAAATTGCAATAAATTTGATGGTAGTTTTTCTTGTTAATATAGTAATCACTAATGTACTGATAGAATAAGAATTGAATATTGAGTCGTCCCTCGGAGTACGTTATAAAACCATGTCAAGTGTTATAGCTATACCCTATAAATGAAAATGGCAGATAATTACCTGAAACCTTGGGTGTGCAGCATTATCTTTCTTGAACCATTCTCCGGCGGATCAGCTTCAAATAAATCTTCTTCACTTGGCATTTCTGTCGTCCACTTCTTTGATGCAGCAACAAGGACTTGACAAAATCTGGAAAGAGGATTGCCCTTACGCTTGTAGTACCTATACTTTGTTGTCCCGGCGAGAAAGAGCAACAATGCAGTGAAAGCTGAGGCAGTGGACGCCCAAAACCCAAGAGCCCACATTCCTTCATCCTCAAAGTAGTCTAGGATGGTATTGGAGAAGAGGGAACCAAGGTTCAAAGCCAGGTAGAAGTAGCTGAAAAATGCCAGTTTTGAGTGTCTCTCTTTTGGATTCTCATCGTCGAATTGGTCTGCCCCGAATGTGGCTATGTTTGGTTGGTACCCTCCATTTCCTAGAGCCACCAAGTAGATGGAGAGATAGAATAGACCAATCGCCCAGTTGGAATGAAACCCACACCGAGTTTCTTTATCTCCACAACCTTTGGGTTTGAGCAAGTAGAGTTGAGATGTCACAGACAATAAGGCCAATCCCTGTGATAATGTAATGCTATTATCTCAAAGTAGTACTTAAGGTATCATTCATACTACTTACTCTATCTTTATGTGTATATATAATGAAAGATGATAGTGATAATAATGGGAACTTACAATAACATAGATGATCTGGAATATTGCACAAGTTTTGTACCTTCCCCAGTATGAGTCACTCAGAAATGCACCAAGGAGAGAAAAGATATAAACTGTGCCAGTCCATTTGCTTACACTATTGGCGGCATCCGCATTTTTCTCACCCATCACTCTTGTTAGGAACAAAACTAGGTTAACGCCAACACCAAAGAATGCAAGTGTAGCTAGACCTTGATTCACTGCAGGCAAATATAATCTACATGATATTAATTACTTCCTCCGTCCCTTAAAACTTGACCAACTTTTCTTTTTTGGATGTCTCACTAACTTTGACACTTTCCCTTTTAATTAAAGAATTTGTGGTTCCAGTTAATTCTCTCCTCTGCACAACTCTCAACCACACCGTTTTTATTTTATTAATCACCGTTTTTATTTTATTTACTTTTTTATATTTTATCATGTTTGGTATATTGGGTTTCTCTTATTCTGCTAAACCACATTAATCTACTACACTTGTATTGTTTGACCTACACATAAGTCTCCCTTTGATTTATTTATATGGGCGGGGGCTCAACCCCATATTTGTATTCAATCTTATTTCCCGATCAAGTGTACTTATAATTTGTCATGTGAGTATAGTGAACCACGTCACCAATTCAACATCATTGCTTAGTCATTCTGTATAATCTAATCATCTAACTTAGGTGTACCTAAGTTATATAATTAAGATAATATAATTAAGATTCACACCGATATACCAACTTATTCACTTGTTACAAGTTCTCCCGAATATTCTGCTGCTTAGTAAAGTGACATTCCAATTTTATATTTAGTGAAATTCATACCAATAATCTGTATTTTGGTAGTTCTATAATAATAATCTCTACTTAAAAAGTCAATACAAATAATCCAAACTCGTAAATGCGTCTACATAAATAGATTAAACCTTCATAGATAGATTGTTATCCTTCAAAAACATAATTATAGTAATGATATAAAAAACATTAAACTCAAATTTATGACAATGGTGAACAAAGTCAATAATGTATCCTTATATATTAAATATCAAAAAGATTAATCTAATCTATCTATGTAGACGTGTTTATGAGTATGAATTATTTATATAGCTATCTTCGGTAGAAATTATTATTGTAAAACCGTTAAAAGTATGGATTATTGGTATGAATTAAATTAGACACAACCTGCATTAAAGTGGACCAAGTGAGTGCAAAATAAAACGGTGGCGCCGGATAGAAACATCGAAAAAGCTGTCGAGGATGACGTGGCTACCTAATTCAGAAATTTAAAAAGGGCGTAGATTACGTGTCAGGCATAAGTTCCTTCCTCTTGCATGCACTCCCTCCCTCACTTACTTTGTGTGATTTGGGCCCACCTAAATTAAGCATACCGACCCAATCCACTTCTCTATTCACATTTCTATTCCAATTAATATTCCAATTACATTTATAAGATTTGACTAACAATATTGTTATGAATATTCCAATTACTTTTTATAATATTTAATTTAACTAAGAGCATTATTAGCTACTTAGTTATCCCGTTCTTCATATGCTCCTTCGGTATTTTTATACAACATTTGATTAGCTAATAATAATAATTAAAATTTGTATACTTACAAATTAAAGAAAAATAATTATTAAGTTGAAAACAAAATATTGATAAAACAATACATTTAGAATTTAGAAAGAACTTGTTTTACAATCAACCTAATAATTCAGGAAATGCCTTATAATTATTGTTGTTGTTATTGTGATGATGATCATCTTTATCATCATGATTGTTGTTGCAACTATATCATTGTTACTATTATTGTTGCTATAGGCCTTATTATTAAGATTAGGAAAAAACTAAAGTTAGGACTTATATTTAGTAAATTATCGCTTGTGAATACAATTCAATTTGCACTTTTTCGCATTGAGAGGAAACTTTGATTTATTTACGAAAATGCCTCCACATTTTTTTATTTAGCATGGTTCGACTGAAGTTCAAAAAGTGCAACAGATCACCCTTAAAGTACATCACATTCGGATAAAAGTGGACGGTTTTTAGTTTTCACGTTAAGAAAAGTTTTTGTTTGATCCGAAACCTTTTATAACTATTCTAAATTTAACTGTATCTTTTTACGTCTATTCTAAAACAGTTATAAAAATAGGACCGACCCTGTATGATATAAAAATGAAAGGAAGCAATTAAATGTTTTGATTTATGAAAGTGTTCATTTTAAGAGAAATTTCCACTACTATACAACCATTATTATATATATATATAGAATAAGGATCAAATGAGAAGAGTGCTTATCGTAAGAAGTGAGAATGCATCTGGTGCGTTCATTTTAAGATCTGTGCATCAGATTAGCAAAAAAGTGCACGGGAAAGTGCAAAAAAATATTAAAAAAGTGATGCTAGACGCGGTGGCATTTCCGTAATTAATCGGAACTTTTCTGCCATCGCAAAAAAAGTGCATCGGATTAGCAAAAAAGTCAGGGCCGTCTAATGAATTTGAAGGCCCCGGTTCAAAATGTAAAATCGGGGCCCCACATTTTAATAAAATATTAAAAAAAATCTCAATCTAAATACTTAAATTCAAATCAATTGATTACTGATTAAAAGAGAACTAAAAGAATAAAATGACCAACGAAAAAAATGACGAGTCTATATTTTTCTTCCTTACTATGTAACTATATTTTACTGATTAGTATTAATATATAATATTAATAAGTTTTTAAAATTTTTGGGTCCCATAGATTCAGGGCCCCTGTTCTGGATAACCTATTAAACCCCCTAAAAAACGGCCTGAAAAAAGTGCATCAGAAATAGGTAAATGTGTAACTTCTCACGTTAAGATGTCTTCTCATTAGAACCCGAACCTATATATATATATATGTATATATATGTATGTATATGTATGTATGTATGTATATGTATGTATGTATATGTATGTATATATATGTATGTATATATATGTATATATATGTATGTATATATATGTATGTATATGTATGTATATATATGTATGTATATATATGTATATATATGTATATATATATATATATATATATATATATATATATATATATATATATATGAAAATTGATTAATCATTATGATATATTCCTGTAATGGCAAAATAAAGATGATGACAAATTGACAACACACTACGGGCTTAACATTGTGAAATATATGGAGTACATACATAAATGCAACATGACCAATTGATGGTAAATGACGTACCGTTTTGTCTAATATAATCATGCAATTATAAAAGAAAGACTGATAATTAAAGAAGTATTACTTTATAGTCTTGAATTGGTACGTGATTCATATATATTGATCCAAATTCTTAACACTTGAGTACAAGTTTAAAGATCATGTGATTGAGAACAATCAATTTAAGACTCGAATTGTCAAAAAAATTGTGAAGAAAAAATCATCAAAAAGTAGAAATCAAATTAATAAAGAATTAAATAAATCAAAAACTGTGAATTTTTAGGTGTTTGATTGGTAGTTTTCGGTTCCTATGCTGACACATTTCATTTTTGTGATCTCGAATCAATAGTTTATTAATTGTTCAGGGATAGATAAAGTTACGTTCCAAAAGTAAATAACATAACAAAATAATATAAAATTTACTTCGTATATCTATTGGGATTTTTTATTTTGTTCCAAACTTAAATTTTGGTCAAACGTAGGTCGGTCGCATCTTCGAGACAAGCACAGTAATTGAAAATAGGTATACTTAAATAGATAAATAGAGACGTTGCATATCTTGAACTACTTGAAACGGAGAAAAGAATGATAGCCTGTAAAATTGGCAGTTTTACGTAGATTAATAAGAAAGTTTAACAAAATTTAGAGGTTTTCAAAAAATATAATTGAAATTAAAATTATACTAGTAATAATAATAAGTGTGACTAAGATTATTATGAGTGTGTCGTAATGATTACTACAATTTAAAATTAAATGTAACCATAATTACTAGAAATCACGGATAATATCGTCACAATTAAACAAGATGTCACGTTTTTAGTCAACATCGCTTTTAGTATTACCTGTTTCTAAAACAAAGTCACACTTCAATGCTTATACCGTGGAACCGGTGCATGGTGAGCATCATCCACCTTTTGTTATTTTTTATTTCTCTTTTTCTTAAAATTGTTAATAATTTTTTTATTTTTGATCCGATTTTTATAAAGTTTATATCAATTTTTTTTATTTTTCATGATCTTTCAAATGAAACCAATATTGCTTATGTAATTTTAATTTTTTACATTCATACATTTTTTTGTAATATATTTTTATACGCATACACTTTTTCTATAATATATTTTTTATCACTGTTATATGTTTTAGAGGTTTTTTAGATATTGAGTTTGTTTATTTTTGCTTCTAGCTTGGAGTTACATTTGATAATATACGAAGTTACATCATCATATACTCCACTTACAAGTTATTATGTGTGAGTTACATCTTGTTATACACGAGTTACATACTTTTATGCACGATTTACATGTAATTATGTGAGTTACATCTTGTTATGTGTGAGTTACATCTTGTTATACACGAGTTACATACTTTTATGCGCGAGTTACATGTAATTATGTGTGAGTTATATCTAATTATTTGTGATTTTTTACTTATCTTTATCTTGATCTAATTCAATTATAACTGAATTAATTTTTTTATTTGCCAATTCAATACAAAATTTTATTAATCCACATAAAATAAGTATATTGTATTTCATATTCATACACTATTTTTCAAATGATAAAAATGAAAGGTGTAGCAGGGGTTTATTTCGTGGTGTAACTCACATACATTAAGATGTAACTCACGTATATTAAGATGTAACTCGCGTACAATAAGATGTAACTCGCGCAGAAGAAGATGTAACTTCATGATATATTATCAAATGTAACTTCAAAATAATTTGTTAAAATTACATAAGCAATATTGGTCTCATTTGATAGTTCATGAAAAATAAAAAAAAATTGATATAAAATTTATAAAAATCGGATATCAAATAAAAAAGTTATTACAATTTTTAACAATAAAAGAAAGAAAAAATAATGGAATCACTTGAATGCTGCGTCGTTTTGCAACCGGGCGCACCATCCTCATGGTGCGCCGGTTGCAGGGTATAAATTGCAGTCACACTTTGATTTTTCCAAATTTATGGAAATTAATTTATTGAGGGGAAAAGTTTACTGTATAGTACACTATTTTGACATTGTTTGATATTGTTTATCACTATTTTGATATACATTTATTTTGAAACATCCAAAAAGAAAAGTGTAACTTTCATTTACAAAATGAAGGAGTAATATATAAGTGATTATTTTGTGAAGTTATTTTGAGAAATTATAAAAATCAAAGCTTTGAATAAAAACGGAAAACAGCTAAATAAGATAAAGATATTTGATATATTGTGCCTCACACATAAAATATACGGAGTACTACGTAAAATATTATTCTCCCCTCCAAAAAATTGTCAAATTGACTTTTCTTGATCAATAACAATCAACTTTGACTAATGATATTTTTTAATACGAGATTATTAATAATATGAAAATTGTATCAAAATGTTCCTTATTCAAAATATTTTCATAAAAGTATAATTTTTTAAATTAATTTATAAATATAGTAATTAAAATCATTGTACAAAATTTGTCATCATTAACCAAGAAAAGTCAATATAGCGAACTTTTTCATGGGGGAGGTAGTAGTATTAAACTACCAGAATATTTAAACTAAATAATGCTGACACCAAAAGCTTATACCGTAGTAATAATTAATAACAAGAGAACAATTTTTAGCAGGAAGTGACCAAGTGAGCAAAATCTTTAATTGAATAAGCACAATTTGATACTCTATCAGGTATATAGCAGAATAAAATTAAAGTTTAAAAGCATTTTCAGTGAGATGAGGGGACAAATATATCTTAAACAATAGTTACATTTTATAATAATAAAACCTACCGAGAATGATCATTCCGGCGAACCACTGGCCGGTCCGGTGTCGGATAGCTGGCCGGCCATGCAAGTTCACTGTTCCATCCCCAGTCCGCTCCTCTTCTTGATAACCACCATTCATCATCAGTGCTCCGGCCTGTGTTTTTCAAGTTCATTTAAAATATTTGATAAGTCAAGTAACTTATAATGATGAGAGGTAATAATTTTTTTGGGGATGCGGGTGTTCATACTATTTCGTATGAACAATCCCGACATCCCGACGACGTGAAGTTAACGCTTGGGTAAATCCCGATATGATCTTGGTCCAAAAGGTTGAATGCACAACCCCAAGGCTCCCCACCCCGACCCGACAGGAGATTCGAAATCCCTACATGATCGATATGACTAAAGAATGCTAATAACCTTGGAGACTTCCGAACAAGCCATGATCATAAGGATATATAGGAGAATATATATGTGTTTGGTATGGATTTTGTTGACAATTAAGTTTGTGAAAAAGAAGCAAGCTAGAGTTTGGTATCAGTGACGAGAAATGATATGTATGTATTTGAAGCTGGTTGGGTTGGGAGATAACATGAAGTGAAGTGTGTTTATATAGAATGTGGGGGCTAGAATTGAGGAAATGGATGGTGGCGATTGGTTTTGAGGGTATAGTATGAACAAAAGGAAAAATAAAAGGAAAACAAAAATCTTGGGATGAGGGAATCCATGCACCACCACTTTTATAAAAGGGAATTTGCAACAGCGGTGGTGTTTTAATTATAAAATGGGAACTTATATATGAAATGCAATAATAATTTAGTATTATTATTAAAGCAATTGAAAATATAAAAAATTACACTTTTTACGTCATGCATGTTGAGATTGTTCCATTTTTTCATTTTGGTCTCACCCACTAAGATGGTCTCATACCAATTTTAATAAGATTTTTGTGGTTCTAAGTATTCTTACTTTATTCTCACTTACCAATTCAATATCTACCCCTTAAAGTCACTTTTTTTATAATTGCACAAATTCTTCTTGTACCAATATTAGAGGGACTGATGTAGTAATTGAAATTCATGTATAATAAAATAAAAAATAACACTTATTTTGAGATAACTTGTTATCTAAATAGGAGTAAAACACAGTAAAGAGTCACAAATAGGACTACATTGTTTTCTATTGGAGTAATTTGAGTTTGCACCTCATTTTATTGTCCAAATTGGACTTTGCATTCCGTTTTTAAAAACTTTTGTTTTTGCATTCCAACCCCATGTGAAAAGAAATAAATGACCTTTCATTAACAATTCTGTTGGCTTTCAACATATTCCTAATAATCGAGGGCATTTTTGTCTTTCATATATATCAGGTTGGGGTGAAAAAACAAATATTTTTAAAAACGGTGTGCAAAGTCCAATTTGGAAAACAATATGCGGTGCAAACTAAAATTACCCCTTTCTTATTTCCTAGTAGGACAAATTATGTGTGTTTGAACAAATATACCCTTGTAGCTTTTGAAATCTTTTAATTCATAATAAAATCATAAAAATAAAAAAATCGAAAAAAATAATAAAAATTAATAAAATATTTATAAAATAGAAATTTCAAAAAATTATATTTTTTAATAATTAAAAATTAAATTAAATAAAAAACGTAAACAAAGAATCCTCGTCGCCTCTGTCAATCTGCCAGCCCCAGCACCACCACCTTCGGTCACCAGAAATAAAATTCCACTTGTATTGGTAATGCCATATTAATGCAAGTTTCAATGAAATTTTTGGCATTATCAAAAAATAATATGTCATTTTTTCGACATTTTCAGAAAAATAGCATCTTTTACAAAAAAAAATGGCATTTTTTTAATAAAAAGTGGCCTTTTTACAAAAAAAAATGACATTTTTTTACACCGGTCGGGGGTGGTGGTGCAGGGAGGCAGTAGAGGTGGTGGGAAAGGCATCCATATTTTTATTATTTTTATGAATTTTTACTATTTTTTATTAACTATTAATTTCTTATGATTTTTTTAAATAAACTATTTTTTAAAAAAATGTTATTAATTTATTTTTATTTTAATCAGTTGTTATTTTTTTTATTATGAATTAAAACATTTCATTAAGAATTAATAGACTTTGGAGTATTTAGGATATAAAATACGTAGTAATTGTTTAATCTCATCTATGAATGATTTAGGAGCGTAGTCCTATTGTGATTTTTAGGCTAGGTTTTGTTCTATTTAGAACAATTAATTACTAATTTTGCTTTAGTTTTATTTCGGTATTTTTGGTCCACATATATACCACATACTCCGTTACGCACAGAAATAACCTAATTTGGGGTTGCTTTCAGGTATCCAATATTGTCTGTCATTTTGTTGTTTTTGATTTGACGCATGAAATTCTCACTATTCATCAATTTGGGTGGAACATGTTTTTAAGCTCCCTTGCTCATGGGAAAAATATATTTCCTTTTAAAATGTGAATTTTTAAGTAATTTTAGAAAATGAAAGTGTTTAAGGGTGAAAGTTAAAAAAACGTTTTTGAAAAAGTTAAAGATGATAACGTAAAAATTACTTAAAATGTGAGTTTTTAAGTAATTTTAAAAAATGTTTTTGAAAATGTTTTTGAAAATTTAAATTAAAGTTAAAAATTAATTTAATGTAATAAAAAATTAAAAAACAGTTTCAAGCTCTCCTATGGAGTATTTTATATGCTACTACTTAATATTTTAATTTTTTGCAACTCTGTAGAAATTTTAGTTTCTACGTGGCAGATAGTATCACCGATTTAAACTCTCACAATATTTAGTCAAACTTGACCTAAACTACTCCATATTATTGGACCCACTGAAAAGTTAAACTCTTTCTAGAGTGACACCTAAGCTGCGGTCACTTTTAAAACTCGAATAAATACACCCTTATTTAAGGTATTGGGGTTTAGGATCAAGTCAAAGAAGCTCCTAGCGGCACATGAATTAATGGCTGATATTATTTGTAATTGTTACTGAATGATTATATGATTTTTAAGTGGTTAAGAATGTATTTCTGCGTTTTTCCAAATCTTAATAACTTTTTTCTGTCATCATCAGCAAATCGCATATCCATCAGTTTTTTGACAGGCCATATCCATCAGTTTGAATATTATTTTCTTTATTTTTGTTTAATTGCAATGAATCTCACGTTTATCAAACTAATTATTAATAGATTAGTGACCTATTTAAATTCACGTTAGTCAACTTTTGATACATATCTACTCATCGTTAAATGACTAACTAATTGACTACTAGTAAAGTTCACATTTTTAAATTTTAATGTTTATCATAAATATAATTTCTAAAATCATAATGATTGAAATTAATAAAATAAAAGTATTCAAGTATTGGAAAATCAAATCATTGCAATTATTCTTTTCGAAAAAATCATTGCAATTATTAGAGCATCCACATTCATGCTACTTAAATAAACGGATTTTTATTGACACGTAGAATTTTTCAAAATTATCTTACATTTTCTATATTACACCATCCATCATCTCAAAATAATCAGATCTTTTGTGGTTTCCGCACTCACCAATTAATACTAGCTGCACAATAATCTTGAGATAATCTGAATTCATATTTCAATCCAGGATTATTTTGTCAAATAATCTCATCAAATAATCACTCAATCATGATCCCAAAAATGATCCGTCACATATGATGTTTCCATTTTCCAATGTACTTTTTGGAGGATCATATCAATGGATCATGGATTAAATTAAATTAATGGGAATGAATCGGTCTAATTGTCGAAATAATAGGATTAATTACCCCAACCAACTACAGTTATTACACCATAAAAAACATTTTGACTCGATATCCGACTGATTAACGTAATCATGAGATATTCTTTTTGGACATGATTAACCCGAAAATAGTGTGTTGATGACATGTTGTCTACACAATACATGCCGTATGGGAAATATATCCTAATAAATAACATTAATATAGTAAAGAAAAACCATAAAAATTTTATTCTAATGTTGCACGGGTAATATATATTTAATTGAAACAATGAAATATATACATTATTCATGTACTTACTTTTACTACATTTTATTTATGGAGTAATATATATGAATTATTATTTTTTTAAAATATTGTTAAATTTGTCTCATTACCAGGTTTTATAATCTGATGATTTTTATTTTATTTTAACTATTACGGAATTAAATATAATGACGGTCAAAATTGTGCGTTCGTTGGCAAACGTGAAAAGGGGAATATTATCACTAAAAAAGAACGGAAGAAGTATAAATAATCATAAACAATAATAAAACAAGACGTATCCAAGTATCTACGATATATGTGTACGTTACTCCTAGTTTAGTAGTAATTAATTACGTTCTTGAAATTGTTGAATCTCTTATCGTCATTTAATTTGTTGAGATCTAACGTATGAAAAGTATAACAACTATACCTTAGCTCAAATTGCAAATGAATAATTCTTCGGCATATGTTCTTTGTTTTGATTCGCACAAGATCGTGAATATAATAATGTGACCTGAATACTTATATTCTCGACATATACATATGTCTTCTAAATGAACTTATGGCTTATTTGTCAGCTGTACAATATTCATAGGAATCCTAGGTTTATGGGTTATCCAAGAATCTCATTTCAACTTATCACCATCTCAGTATCTCACTCCCATCATTAATTGGGTATTTGTTAGGATTCAAAAATATTAGTTTGGGGTTAATCACCTCTCATCTTTTTTTTATACCAAGTATATATAATTAATAACAAACACATATTTTGTTCGGGAAAAAGGTCAGATAGGTCCTCGAAGTTTCATAAAAAGGTCAAATAAGGTCTTATGTAGAAGGTTCTGTCCGGCCATCGCCATTGGAATGGTTTCTGGTGGAAGTTTTTAATGATTTTTTTTGAACATCTTATTCATTAAGTCTAGTTTACTCATACCAAATTTCAGCTAAACCTTCAATCGGGAAAGCATTCAAATTAATTGTTGAAGATAACTGCGCTTTTAACTTCGCAGTTATCTTCAACAATTAATTTGAATGCCTTCCCAATTGAATTTTTAGCTGAAATTTGGTATGAGTAAACTAGACACAATGAATACGATGCTAAAAAAAATTCATCAAAAACTTCCACCGGAAATCAACCCAAATGGCGACGGCCACACAAAGTCTCCTATATAAGACCTTATTTGACATTTTTATGAAAGTTCGAGGACCTATCTAACCCTTTTCCCGATTTTGATCTGGTGAAGATGGTCAAATGGTTTCAATTTCTAACATTACATTTCAAAATCGACATTATATAACTAGTTGTACTGTTTAAACATTTGTTTGATCTCACACCGGGAATCCGGAATATTGGAGTTTTTTCCCAAACTAAGGTACTTCTAAAACTTATTTCCCAAACTAGGGTATTTTTTCTCCATGTCACCCAACCTACCACGTCACCTATGCCACATTATTCGCTAGTTATTCCATATCATTGATATTTGGGTAGTATAAAAAATACGTTGCTAGAACGAGTTGAACTCACAACCTCTCAACTATGTACTAGGAGTAAA